AATCGTTTTGAACCATTGAGGTCTATGTCAGATGACAATATAGGCTCAAGAAATTATGATTGGTATCCCAATCAAGGTTATAGGGATAACCAATTTAAAAAACCATTTCAACAACAGGGTAACAGACCCCCCAACAATAATTATAAGAGAGGATATGGCAATTATAACTCCCCGAGAAGGAATTATGGAGCCCCATATAGACATGACGAGTTCATGACACCTACACCTAGAACACCTCAGCAGCCATTTAGGCAGCCATCATATGCTCCACCATATAGAAATGATACCTATTATCCTCCAACAACTAACCATTCCACATATCAAAATGAGAATTGGAATCCCACCCTGGTTCATTTTTTAGACCAGGGAAGCTCATGCAAAAAGAAACGTCCGAGCACGGGAAAAAGGGGAGGTAAAAGGGTCAACAAACCCAAAAAAGAGGAAACTATAAAGGGTAAGTGGATTTTCAACCTTAGTGGGAAAGTACTAACTTCCCAAGAGTTGGACTTACTAGATAGAGGATTAAAATTTGCACCAAATAATAAATTGGACAAATTTCATACATATATTGACATACATAGATTTGTAAGATCAATATCTTTGAAAAAATATTTTCATTCGAATCCTATCGTTAGAAATAATACTAGTATAAATACTTATTCTAACTTAAGGAATGCATCCCTATTCAATCCTCCCCCACAAAATCATAGCTATATCAATGCCTTTAAAGAAACGGTACTCAAGGATTTAGCTGCTGTGAAGGTAAAGAACCATAAAAATCATCATGGGACTTCCAAAGCTATTAACTCCCTCCTTGACCAGAAAGACCTTGTCATAAGGCCTGCGGACAAAGGGGGAGGAGTTGTATTAATGAATAAAGATAGCTATAATAAGGAAGTATATAATATTCTTGGAGATGTAGATACATATTGCCGTCTACCAAAGAATCCTTTGATTATATATAAAAAATCTCTTAAAAATATTATTGCCAAAGGCTATTCGGATAATGTTATAAACAAGAAAGAGAAGGAGTTTTTATGTCCATCGGCTCCTAGGGTACCAGTCATGTACATTCTCCCTAAAATACATAAAAATCTAGAGAACCCTCCCGGTAGACCTATCATAAGCGGTATTGGATCTCTGTGTTCTCGAGTAGGACAATACATAGATTATTTCCTACAACCACTAGTACGGAAGACGCCATCTTATCTGAGAGACACTAAACAAGTGTTACAAGATATTTAAGGTCTCTGTGTTGATAATGATACATTTCTAGTTACAGCTGACGTGGCTTCTTTGTACACGAGCATTGACCACACAGAGGGTAGGCAAGCAGTAGATTTTTATCTTAATGAATCTACTCTGCCTCTTTTACATAAAAAGTTTATACTTACCCTTTTGGATTTCGCTATGACTAGAAACTATTTTTGGTATGATAGTAATTTTTATCTACAAACTAGGGGCGTGGCTATGGGAGCGAAATTCGCTCCGAGCCTGGCAAATTTGTTCATGGCTAGATGGGAGGAGGACATTATATATGCCAGGGATTGGCCAGAATTATACTTCTATAGGCGATATATTGACGATATACTGCTTATTTGGAAAGGGGATGAACAAACATTGGTTAATTTTTTTCGGTACCCTTAATAACAACACCTTAAATATTAAATTAACCTTTGATTACAGTAAGACTAGTGTGAATTTCTTGGATTTGACATTAATGAACCAAGAAGGCACCCTAATAACCTCTTCCTTCTTCAAAGGAACAGATCGGAACGGTTACATTCCCATTAGCAGTTGTCATCACCCGCTATGGCTTTCAAACATACCGAAAGGGCAATTCTTAAGGCTGAGAAGAAATTGTACCTCTGTTGATACTTTTCTGTCACAAGCATCTATACTAAAAAATAGATTCTTGGAAAAAGGATACGACGAGATATGTCTTACCCGCACTATGCACGAGATAGGAAATATGGATAGAGATTCTCTTCTTGCTAACAAATACCTCACAAAAGTCACAAAAAATCTGTCCCTTTGTTACTACTTTTTCTAGACAATATAGGACGATTTCTAAAATCATTAATCAGAACTGGAAGATTCTGAAGGCGGATCCAGTGCTAACTAATATCCTCCCTGATAGACCTGAGATCACCTATAGAAGAGCACAATCTCTGAGAAATCTCATAGCCCCAAATATTATCGACCCTCCTAGGAACACTTCCTTTTTGAATAATACTACTGGTTTTTTCCCATGCAACAGGTGTATTATATGCACCTGTAATGGCAAAAGGAAAAAGAGGGTCGATAATTTTATATCGACTAGTACTGGCAGGGGCATTTAAAATCAATAACTTTATATCATGCTACAGCAAAAATGTTGTGTATCTTTTGCAATGTCCGTGTAAAAAAACAGTACATTGGGCGCACCATCAGAAGACTTAGGGATAGACTTCGCGAACACGTTAACAACATTAAGAAGGGCTTTAAAAGATCATTCTTTATCATTAAACTACAGGACCCATCACAACAGGGACCCATCTTCATTGCAGTTTGTAGGTATTGATACAGTACAAGCCCATTGGAGAGGCATAAATAAAAAAAGAGCAGTCTCGCAAATGGAAACGAAATGGATATTCCAGATGGACTGCATGCGCCCCAATGGACTTAATATAGAACTGGATATCAATAGTTTTATTGATAACAGCTAATTAGGACCATCCAGATATCTTTCTATATATATATACATATGAATTTTTGCTATTGATTCTAGTGTGTATTTCATTTAACATTATATGGTTTTATTCTCCTGTCATTATGACGATATATTCTTGTTATTCAGGTTATTCCAATATTTAATGTTTTATTATTTTAACATTCTGCATGCACTAATGATCGACGGGTCTATAGATGTATGTATTATTTTATATCTGCATCGATTATATATATTGTTGATTTATGTATTTCTGGCTTCATAGTATTCAGATATAATTTTCATATATATGGGTACTTATGATGTGCTTATATTTATGTTTGGCAGATTTTATATATTTGCCAATATCTATATATGCATGACCACCAGGTTCTCACATGAATTATAATCTTTTAATTTTACATTTTATATTTTATTTTGATTCATTTTTTTGTGATTATAGTTATTCATACGAAGTATTTATATATTTGTATTATTGTTGTTGCGATAAATATGGGCTATATAACATGACTTTGGATCTGTTAATTAAGATCCATTATTGTCTTTGCCCATAGTCATATTATCTTGGTTTGATTCCACATAGGTGACCTATAGCGTCCACCACTGTAAGCTGCACCCCTATGAGTACGAGCCTTCACTCGAAAACGCGTCAGGAAAGCTACAGCAGGTTGGACGCCTCACCGCCGGCGCCACGAGGGGCCCCGGCGGCCATCTTTGATTTGCATCTGGTCAGTACTATTTTGTATGTTGGTTTTCCTGCTATCCTGTGCCTATAATAAAGATACCTAAGGATATCACACTATGTGGCCCTTTCTATTTATTTGAGTTCTGGTGGGAACCAGCCAGATCCATGGAATAGCTGCATCTATCCGGGTACCAGGCAAAGAAGGATATGCTGACCAGATTTGACCAGACCAGGATGATGACACAGGAGGTCCAGTGATATTTTACACAAATGCGCAGAAAGATTGCGTATCTGGTGAGTGCGCAATCTTTACATTTTTTATCACCTGACGGTTCCTAATATTGGACGTCTGAGGATCATCCTGGATCTTAAGAGCACTCCTCCATTGGACTGTTTCACTTCCCTCACTTCATAGCCACCATCCAGTGGCTTTATTAACACACAGTCACTGTTTTTATTGTTTATCATCTGTGTTTGATCCATTATTATTTGCTAAGTTATATAGCGCTGCACCCCCCCCCTTTTTTTACATTTATGTCCTTGAAGGTTTGATACGGTGCCTTTTTGGTGTACAGCTGCTGCTCATTATTATATCTATTCAAGCGCTCACTTTTTTGTTTTTCTTGACCTCTTCTGAACATACTCCCTGCTATCATATCCTCCGCACTCCTCTGCTGCACATACTCCCTGCTGTCATATCCTCCGCACTCCTCTGCTGCACATACTCCCTGCTGTCATATCCTCCGCACTCCTCTTCTGCACACACTCCCTGCTGTCATATCATGTGCACTCCTCTTCTGAACATACTCCCTGCTATCATATCCTCCGCACTCCTCTGCTGCACATACTCCCTGCTAGTCATATCCTCCGCACTCCTCTGCTGCACATACTCCCTGCTATCATATCCTCCGCACTCCTCTGCTGCACATACTCCCTGCTGTCATATCCTCCGCACTCCTCTGCTGCACATACTCCCTGCTGTCATATCCTCTGCACTCCTCTGCTGCACATACTCCCTGCTGTCATATCATCTGCACTCTTCTCCTGCACATACTTCCTACTGTCATATCCTCCGCACTCTTCTCCTGCACATACTCCCTATTGTCATATCCTCTGCCACTCTTCCACTCCTCTTCTGCAAATACTCCTGTTGTCATATCCCCTGCAGTCTTCCCCTGCTGTCATACTCCCTGCTGTCTATCCTCTGCTGCACATACTCCCTGCTGTCTTATCCTCCACACTCCTCTCCTGCACATACTCCCTGCTGTCATATCCTTTCCAGTCTTCTCATGCACATACTCCCCACTGTCATATCCTCTGCACTCCTCTCCTGCAAATACTCCCTGCTGTCATATCCTCTGTTGCACATACTCCCTGCTGTCATATCCTCCACACTCCTCTCCCGCACATACTCCCTGCTGTCATATCCTCCATACTCTTCTTCTGCACATACTCCCTGCTGTCATATCCTCTGCAATCTTCACCTGCACATGCTGCCTGCTATTTCTTTAGCATTCTCGGTTATAGCCCAAAAATTTCAAGTTCTTTAAGGGGCACACTTTTGCTAGTCATAAGAAAAGTGAATTTCAATGTAGAAACACGTACAGGTCTGGGGTATGGGTTTCCATAATGCAAGCCAATCTCAATCCTTGCATTGCATTCTTCTATGCATTGCTGGATAGTTTCTTTGTGTGTCACCTAAAAAAAAAAGTAATAAAGTCAGCAAACAGGAGATTGCAAAAGAAAAGTAAGCATAAAAGACTCATATTCAAACAAGGTTTAGAGATATAACTTGATTCTGAGACATTAAGTGATATTTATAAGGCCAGTACGAGGGCCTCTAAAAGTTTAAAGGTGCACAAAATAAAAAAAAATATACACAGTGCTTTGCAGCAAATGTCTGCACCAAGACTTCATGTAGCTGGTCATAATTAGTTTTTTTCATTCATATGTGGTGGATTGAGGAATCCTATCCACATGAACATTGTATTCTGACAGTGGGACCCACTGCTGTCAGAATAGTGATCTGCAGCTGAAGTTTCTCATCAACAATAGATTTGTCAGATGTCCTTTTGAGAAATGGTCAACCTCTGCTGAGCAGGAACGGCCACACAATGATCAGAATTTTTCTGGTCCCTGCTGAATCACTTAAACTTTGATGAGTGTATGGCCAGCTTAAGAGGCACTAGTGTGTTGTAGAAAACGTAGATGACTGAGATGATGTAATGACTTTTACATCAAAAATGCAACTTTATTGTATTAGGAATAACTGCTATATGTGCTGCAACCTGAAGAGACTGAAAATTATAGTTAGAACCACAGTACATAGAGGAGCCTTGATGTAGGGCACTGCGGCTTACGCATATATTTGCAAATGTATGCAAACAAAACCCTGTTTTTAACGTGAATTGTTAAGACAGGGTCAGTTTGCTTCTTTTTTTTTTTTTTTTGCAAGCTAGCTGGTAAGTGTGCTGGAAATTCTTTGTTTGTGGTGTTAGGAATAAAACAAGATAGTTGTGGGTGGAGGTACTTCACTATTTTCCACACCTTATCCCCAAATACGTTTAAGCGTAAAGAAAAAAAAAAAGTATAACAGGATATTGACAAGTGAAACGTCAATACACCAAACAAAAGATATATACATAAAAAATGTATTACAAATATATCTCACTAAAAATCTACTCAATATAAAATATAAGGCAGGTTCCAATATACAAATCTATACATGAACAGTACAGAGTCTTCAAAAGAATGCAGCAATATATAAACAGAAACTTCAAAACTCTTTTCAACATAGCATAAACACAGAACAATCCATCAATCCATGTTCATGCTATGTTGGAAAAAAATGATTTTGATGAGGTGTGCATGATATATTGATGTATCTTTGGAGAACCCTTTACGATATTCTGGTTTGAGACAAATGTATATATATTTATGAAACTACTATTACTTATTTCTTTATTTTATATCGTTCACCTTCCATACACGCATCCTTGAAAAAGAAGATCTTGTTCCAGGAAACGTGTTTGATTTACTGCATGTGTAAACACCTATTTAATTTATATGGAATAATGAGATGGCTGTTCAAATAATCATGACTATAGACTATGTTGCTCATCAAAAGATTTGTATGCTGGAACTTGCCTTTTATTTTATATTGAGTATTCCATTTTTAACAAGATATGTTTGTATTACAGCAACATTTTTATACACAGTATACTAACTTTCCATTTCTCAATATCCGCTGTTATAAACACTTTGCGGGATTTAAGAGTGGCATAGGCAAAAAGAACCTGCACCATTCTTCTTTATGGAAAAAATGCAGTAGATACTGCTCCTCATTAACAAAAGAGGCACAGGCTCCTACATTTGCTAGGATTAACAGCTGTGTATACCGTTAGGAAAAGCACTGGCACTTCATGGGACTTTGAGTTTTGGTTTGTTGAACCGATACACTGGATGACAGTATTATTCAAATGTGTATTTTTTGGACATTGTTTGCACATTGTGGGATACTTTGGGCACAAATATTATTTTCACAACTATTATATATATTTTAATGATTTAATAGAATTAGTGCTGTATATTTTGTTTGAGTCTGCCTGTGCAGTGTAATCACTAAATGGGCAGAGAAGAATGTGAGCTATCTGCAGACTATATCAATTGACGCAATCCTTTTGTTAATTAGGAATGGAACCTGCGCCAGTTTCTCTCCCATTCTGAATGAGAAACTGACACAGGTAGCACAGAAACCTGAAAAAGGTCTATCTGCCTAAATAATGTTGAGCATGTCACACTAGATTTCTGCAATATAATAATGGGGACAGAGTGTAATGTGTATGGTGAGCTTAAAGTGGTTCTAAAGGCTCAAGGCTTTTACCTTCATGTATTCTATGCATGTATTCTGTGTGTAAAAGGTGTTCTGCTTGGGGTGTCTTGATTCCAAGAGGGATGACTAATTCTTACAAGGGTTAGGTTTATTTATAAACAGGGATAAAACTACATAATATTTACAAATAAGGAATTGGGTAGGAAGAAGGATTGTGGAAAGGAAAGAGATCTGTAAGCTCCTATACACACATCCTCGCACATTCTCTTCTATTCTCTCATGCCAGGGCCCTTTTTGTCCAGACTTGAGACCCACACCCCCAGTCAGTGGTAATTGCAGTCAGTGATATCTTGAATTAAAGGTCATAAAGCTCCTTCCTGTCCAAAGCTTATTGCATTCCTGTTCAGATGTCCACATAATCTTCCAGCCCAGGAAGTAAACTGTCATTGTAGCCAGAACTGGGCAGTAATCCCCTGCAGGGGGTCATAGTAGTCAGAATGTCTACTCCACTCTTCCCCCTTCAGTAACCACACTGTCCAGGTGTGGGGGCTGGGGTCTTACTATTCAAATGTTAATGAACTTGTGTATTTACCTAGCCCCTGTTGAAGTTGGCTAGCTATGCAAATGTCCATATTTTAGTTCAGGGGTTAAAATTTTGAGTCCAGACCTACTAGCCGGTCACAAAATTTACTTTCCACCAGTTGCCCCACCCAACCTTGCCCAGGAACGCCCCAACCCCCACCCCGCCCCCCAACCATGCCCCCTTAAAGCTTATGAAATTATATTTTTCTTTAGAATAAAGAGTCCAAAATATAAAACTGTACACAGTAATGTATATCCCAGCTCCCCTGTACTCCATTATAGTGATGACATGTATACAGTAATGTATATCCCAGCTCCCCTGTACTCCATTATAGTGATGACATGTATACAGAAATGTATATCCCAGCTCCCCTGTACTCTATTATAGTGATATGACATGTATACAGCAATCATTACTGTATACATGTCATCACTATAATGGAGTACAGGGGAGCTGGGATATACATACTGTATACATGTCATCACTATAATGGAGTACAGGGGAGCTGGGATATACATTACTGTATACATGTCATATCACTATAATGGAGTACAGGGGAGCTGGGATATACATTACTGTATACACGTCATATCACTATAATGGAGTACAGGGGAGCTGGGATATACATTACTGTATACATGTCATATCACTATAATGGAGTACAGGGGAGCTGGGATATACATTACTAAGTAATGTATATCTTAGCTCCCCAGTACTCCATTATAGTGATATAACATGTTGTATACAGTACTTACTCCTAGTCCCTCCGAGTCCCCCGCGGCGGTGGAGATAGTGTCTCCTCTCAGCGTAGGAGAGCGGACCTCTCCTGCACCTGTCCCCTCAGCGGTAGTGCCGCAGAAGCCGGAAAAACAGAAGTTGTAAACTGGAACTCGGCTTCACAATGAGTCTTGGAGCGCAGGTGTAGTCGCATCTGTGCTCGCTGCTCGCCCCCCAATCCTTACCGGAGTCCCCTCCGATCTAGCGATGTTCTCGACAGCCTCTGCTGTCTGGGGACTCTTCCTCCTCATTGGCTGAGAAAGCAGCGGGAGCCCATTGGCTTCCACTGCTGTCAATCATAGCCAGTGAGGAGAAAGCGGGGGCGGGGCCAAGCCGTGGCTCCATGTGTCTTTTTGGACACGTAGAGTAACGGCTTAGGGACGAGCACGCAGCAGTGAGCGGCTTTCCCCGGAGACACTGCTTGAGGGGGAGGAGCCAGGAGCGCCAGTGGAGACCCGAAAAGAAGAGGATCAGGGTTGCTCTGTGCAAAATCACAGCACAGAGGAAGTAAGTATAGACATGTTTGTTATTTAAAAAAAAAGAAAAAACTTATGTGGATCTAAACTTTATCTGAGCACCACAAAGAGAAAACATTATGTCAGGCTCCGCCCAACTCTAGTGGTCCACGGCACGGGGTTTCCCAGGACGCGGAGTCTAAGTCCCAGTCTGCCTTTTCACCAGGGCCCCTGATGGTGGGGATGGACTTGGTGCAAGACTGAAACCAGGTCGCGTTCCGGGGCACCCCCGGCGGTGGCAGAGGGGTCCCGCTGGGGGTATGTGCCCGGGTTGAGCCTGCTGTGAAGGGGACGACAGATCCCGATCCAAGCGGGATGGATGGGATGACAGATCCCGATCCGAGCGGGATGGATGGGATGACAGATCCCGATCCGAGCGGGATGGATGGGATGACAGATCCCGATCCGAGCGGGGTGGACGGGCGACTGTCAGGAGTGGGCGAGGTCAGACTAGCCGGGTCGGTATTGTGCGGGCAGCGTGGTACAGGGGGAGTAAGCGGAGAATGGTCGGGGTCACAAGCCAGGTTCAACAGGTAGCGGGCAACGAGGTACCGAGGGTCAGGCAGAAGGATGGTCAGGAACGAGCCGGGGTCAGAGCAGGAGAGGGTAAGCATAAATCAGAACAGGCAGAGTTTGGCAACTAGGAAGCGTACTTACAGGACAGGAACAAGACCTTGCGGCAACCTGGAGATGCACAGGGCAGCTTTAAATAGAGCGCCCTGTTCTCCCATTGGTGCGGCCGCGATCGCTACTGCGCATGCGCGGGCCGCGATCGCCGAGGACTCGGCGCTCGCCGGCTGGGACGGATCGGCAGTCTGCGCATGCGCGCACCGCCGAGGACCCGGGATCCCTGACACATTATTTAATTCATTTTTAATATTCAAAGCAAACTCAATCATCCTTCCATGTCTCCATCCCTTATTTTGTTGAGAAATCACTTTCAAAAACACTCATCCAGTCCTCTAGATGAAAGAAAAAAAATCCCCATGAA